TTACTTGTGTTCTCTATTGTGAACACCCTTGAAAAATAATCATTAAACTCATTTACCATATCATGTATGTTCTGTATGTTCTGTATTACCTCTGTATTACTCCATATTACCTCCCCATTACCTCCCCATTACCTCCCCATTACCTCCCCATTACCTCCCCATTACCTCCCTATTACTTCTCCTTCAGCCAGACACATCCACAGGCAACTGTAGGTCAGGGGTGTCCAGCTCCAGTCCTGGGGGGCTGGAGCTCTGCACATTGTTGGGTTTCCCCTCATTTAACACACCTGATTCTGCTTCTCTGCTAATTACCACCCATTTCTTCAGTTGTATCAGGTGAGGTTGAACAGGGAGAGAACTAAGCTGTGGAAGGCTGGGGTTCTCCAGGGCTGCAGCTGGACACCCCTGTTCTAGGCTTTTCTCACAGAGGGTGCCAGGTGAGAGACCCCAACCAGTTATTCATCCAGATAAATTTGTCAAAAAAGGCAGTACATTTACAACACATTATTATTACACATCTCTATGACTACCATAAGCCACATTTTTAAATATAATTTTACAATATAATTTAACTTTACTGAACTTCATATGGTCAAATTGCATTTTCATCTTGCACATATGGGATGTACCCGTGATGCACCCTCATTACCCCGGTAAGTCACCCATGCACAGATCTATGCACACAGATCTATGCACACAGATCTATGCACACAGATCTATGCACACAGATCTGCATGTGCTGTCACTTTGCTGCCACACTGACATATGAATTTTAACCTCATTATACCATTTGGAATTATGCTGCTCCATAATGTCTGATTTGATCCCTGGTGATTCTGAAGGGAGCCCACTATACAATTTTATCATGTGACAACCTATAAACCATAATAAACATACATGAGCATAGCCTAGCCAATGATGATTAAGCTCTTATGTTTTTAATATTCACGTCAATGCCCTAACCTGGTAAATTCTTTGAGTGGTCTCTTCATGAGCTACAATTACTATGTTGGAGAGATAATAAGTTTAAACTGTCTTGATTTAACATTTTGCAGATATAAATTTATAACAGTGACATCAGGCAAATAGCACTGGTGTTTACATTCTTACTGAGACTGGAAGTGAGAGAGCGGCAGCGGGGGGTGGGGGGTGGGGGGGTCGAGGGAGGACAAAATACCTCTTAAGGGAGTGAGGTCACTCTTAATGTCGTGCAGCTTGATTTTGTTTTCGGGGCTGGTGGGAGATCCTGGCAGCCATATTTAAAATTACAGAGATGCAGAAAATCACACACTCAGAATTAACTGTCAACCATAAAACAAGCATCTAGACACAATGGAGGTGTGACTATCAGACAAATACCCTGAAGTACTGTGACGTGCCAAAGGTTTAACACTATGATAAACAATCTACCAGGCTATGGCTATTTACATGGTACCTGACACCAAGCGGCACATGATGGGCAATGTTCGACTTTTAACAGCCAGAGACTCAAATTCTGTCAAAGGAAGCGTGTCACATTTCACCTCTCATTTGGCAAGCTTTAATATTTTTCATATGACAGTAACAGTTGACTCAATAAAATATATTATTATATAATGAGTAAATAATAGCAATTTGTTCCATACTCAAGAAAGCTTTTTGTCCTAAAAATTCTAATATCTGGAAATCTGCAGAGAACTACTTTTCCACAGAACATTCTTTAAAGTAAATTTTGAAAAATCAAGTGTGTGTTTTACCACGCAGCATGGATTTAGTCACGCTTTTAGAAACGTAAAATTTCATAGTAAAACTGTTGACATTTTCAGAATCTTCATTTTACATTAAATTAATACCCTATGGGTTTGTGGTCATAAATCAGTAGAGGCTCCTTATAGCTTTACCTCTCTGCGTCTTCAGGCTGGTAAAACCTTGCAAAGTAAAGCGCTTTTTAGCTACAGCAGCCCTTTCTGTGGTCGGGCTTGTGACAGTCTCATCTAGACAGGGGGGGTAGGGGAAAGAGAGGGAACCAGCAAGAACACAGAGGAGGTGGAAAGAGAAGGAAGGCAAATAAAAGAAAAGGAAGTTAGTCTTTGCATCAGAGAAGTGAGGAAGGCATAAAGAGAGGCTGTCCAGAAAAGTCTCAACACATAAAGAGAGGCTATTCAGAAAAGTCTCAACACATAAAGAGAGGTTATCCAGGAAAGTCTCAAAGCATAAAGAGAGGCTGTCCAAAAAGTCTCAAAGCATAAAGAGAGGCTATCCAGGAAAGTCTCAACACATAAAGAGAGGCTATCCAGAAAAGTCTCAACACATAAAGAGAGGATATCCAGGAATGTCTCAAAGCATACATAGAGGCTATCCAGGAAAGTCTCAACACATAAAGAGAGGCTATTCAGAAAAGTCTCAACACATAAAGAGAGGCTATCAAGAAAAGTCTCAACACATAAAGAGAGGCTATTCAGAAAAGTCTCAACACATAAAGAGAGGCTGTCCAGAAAAGTCTCAACACATAAAGAGAGGCTGTCCAGGAAAGTCTCAACACATAAAGAGAGGCTGTCCAGAAAAGTCTCAACACATAGAGGCTGTCCAGGAAAGTCTCAAAGCATAAAGACAGGCTATTCAGGAAAGTCTCAAAGCATAAAGAGAGGCTGTCCAGAAAAGTCTCAACACATAAAGAGAGGCTGTCCAGGAAATTCTCAAAGCATAAAGAGAGGCTGTCCAGGAAAGTCTCAAAGCATAAAGACAGGCTATAAACGAAAGTCTCAAAGCATAAAGAGAGGCTGTCCAGAAAAGTCTCAACACATAAAGAGAGGCTGTCCAGGAAATTCTCAAAACATAAAGACAGGCTGTCCAGAAAAGTCTCAACACATAAAGAGAGGCTGTCCAGGAAATTCTCAAAACATAAAGACAGGCTGTCCAGAAAAGTAATGGCATGCTGAGTGAGAGCATTGCCAGCGTGGTTCACAGGAAGTGGAATAGAAATTCTGATTCTTGAAGGTAGTGCATGTGATTTTAATCCAATACACTTTTTGTTAAATTTGGCAAATCTCTCCTTACAGTCCGCTAGCTGTCCTGAAAACACCTGGTGTTTCTATGTAGCCCTGCCTCTGTAAACGGGGAAAAAACCAAAGTGGCATGGACAAAGCTAATCAGCAACAGGGGGCGCTCATGCTCATGCACAGGACAGGGGGGGTGGAGACGGGGGAAGCGTTAAGGAGAAGGAGGAGTGGCTTTGGAGGGGTGTCTGAAGCGAGGGGGTGTGATCATGTTGTGTGGCATTTTTTTCCCTTTCATAGGGGCTGCATAGAATCACCAGGTATCTTTTTCAGTGCACACACAGAAGGGACAGCTAGGGACTACGAGCAGAAATTTGCTCAATTTGACAAAAAGTGTATCAGATTAAAATCACATACCCTACCTTTAACCCCAGATGCATCACCACTGAATAGAATCTGCATGTGTAGGTGGATGGATTGTTCTGTATTAGCACGTAATGTAGCTGATGATTTTGCTCGTGGGAGTTTTACTTACACAAAGGTGTTCTGAGGGCAGAATGAAAAATGATTGGTCGAATTGTAGAAGAGGTGGGTCTAAGCAACTAGTGGAAGCGGGACCAAGACATCTGATTGGTTGATCCCGCCTCCTTTAGTTGCGTGGACCCACTTCCTTTACAATCTGATTGGTTATCTCTCCAAACCAATAATTTTTCATTCTGCCCTCAGAACATTTTTGTGTAAGTAAAACTCCCATGAGCGATGATTTTGGATGGAGTTTTATTACAATCAGCATATAGTATTGTCTTACCTTTCACTTTATCTGTGTTATGAGAGGGTGAGGAGTTAGACTCTGGATCATAAACCTTCTTCTCCTCTCCCTTCTTTATGCTTTTCTGGCAGCTTTTGAGTGGACTGTGGAGGCAAAACGTACAACTATTAAAAAAAAGCAGACCTGTCTTTTGCAAAATGGTTTATACCTGAAAGAGTGGTGGATAAAAAGGCATTTGGAAATGCTTGTCACATAAGAAAATGAGAAACTCTGAGCCATTTTAATGTGGTTTGTCAGAAAATCACACCTCAGGTTTGCAGTTGCAGGGGTTTGCAGTAGCAGCTGCTCTGGTGTTCTTTGCTGGCTGGCATCTGAAAGGCCAAAATAACACAACAAAACACGGGCTGCTAATGGAAAAATATATTCATACTGTGTATAATGCAGTAGCTGCTGTACAAGTCAAACACTCAATCTTTACATCAGAGTTCAAGCACCATTTAATAAGCTAAAAGAATGTGTTGATCAGTCAGGAGTAATTCCTCGTAGATGCGAATTCTTCAGGGGCTTGCGATCAGAGTACCAGGAAAACCACCAAACTTACCCTTCCAGGCTTTCAGCTGTCCTGTTAGAACTTTTCGTATTTCATTCACCCACGCTGTCTTAATATCAGCCGTTGGGGCCTTAAGAGAAGGATGGGAAAGGTCACTCTTTTTTAAATGAAGGTGACACATCTGCATGTTTGGAGTACAGATACACTGCAGTGCTATCCTATTTTGCTTTCCTTTGAGACAAACACGCATACAGTAGTCCTCTGTGGATCCCATATGTGACGTGATTTTCATGTACTTACATATAGTAACTGATACACAGTATATAACATTACCAACATTAAATACAGTAATAATAAAGTACACTGTACTCTCTCTCTCTCTCTCTCTCTCCATTCTGATGCTTCAACCAAATTTCTCAAGAGAGGATAAAGCAATGGAAAAATATCTTTTATCAAGGGATGAGGGAGCAATGTAAATCAGGCTTTTTATACTCCCCAAAGGACAAAAGAACAAACGAAAACATACTGCACACATTTTACAACTTTTTTTCACACAGCAGCAAACCACAGATAACTGAAAGTGCAGTTACGAGAACCCTGGAAACGGGGGAATGACAGTATATACAGCTGTGGTTATGAAAAAGGAAGAGTCTTGGTTATTTTGTTGTTGTTCTATGGATGGCTGATGGATGCGTAGAGAAGCTTTGTCTTGCCTGCGCTATGTACACCTCCTCTCTGGAGTTAGACCAGATCTCAAACTTCTTGCTGTGTCCTTTCACATTCTCTGTGATGCCCACAGCACTCATCTGTAACAGACAGAGTGCAAGTTTCATTCAGCTTAACAGACAGATCTTTGCAAAATTAAGCCAAGGAAATATTGTTGTTGAACAACGTCTGCAAGTTTTTGGTGTCCGCTCAAGGTACTACAACAGCCTCAGGAAGATCCAGGAGCCGAAATAAAGGTCCATACATTACTGTGCAAAAGTCTTAGGTAGCCAAAGAAAATGATGTTTAAATGTTGGTGTAAAATTATACTGTTATGCCTGTCAAACTGCGTCCGATTAGCCATTTCAAAATGTCTGCTAAACTCACCGCAGCATTTGCTGTAACCATCCAATACACCCATGAATTTCTTGACTTGACCACTAGCACAGCTCACATAGCTCATCAATATCTCATTCACTTTTTGAACCAATTGAATTAATTAATTAAGCTGATGGTGAAATTTAATAAATACGTAGAATGGCTGAGGTTTGGGTACCAAAGCGTTGCTCATCTAGTCATCCGACTATATATCAGTGACTTTTTGGAGAAAAGAAGAAATTCTTACTAGCTTTTATTCTGTCATTCTTAATTTGCATGTGTTCAAATGCCAAATTGTGCTTTTTGTTCTGAGCAAAAGTACACTTACGACTCAGATAAATAGCATTTCTTTTGACTGCGTAAAACTTTTGCACAGTACTGTAAATAAAAAAGTACAGCAGAGCTTGTGACAGTCAGGCACCAAAAACCCCCAAAACGTCGCTTCAGTCTTAACATCTTAATCGACTGTCCCGTCGCCGCACTGCAGCAGTGCCAGTGTTGCCCATGTGCCGCAAACTCACTGCCGCACTACAGCAGTGCCAGTGCTGCAAATGTGCCGCAAACTCACTGCTGCACTGCAGCACTGCCAGTGCTGCCCATGTGCCGCAAACTCACCGCCGCACTACAGCAGTGCCAGTGCTGCAAATGTGCCGCAAACTCACTGCTGCACTGCAGCAGTGCCAGTGCTGCCCATGTGCCGCAAACTCACGTTGAGCGAGTGCTTGAAGCTGTAGGAGGGGGCTTTCTCATAGCCTTCCCCACTCTCCTCCCTCCTCTTGCAGAAGAGCAGCGCCTTCTCATGCAGGAAGAGGTGCCGCTGCATCGGTTTAAAGCGAGCCAGGTCCTTCACCTTGGCGTGGGCTTTTTTGTGCTCTATCCAGACACTGAATGAGCCCTGCATCAGAAGCCTGCCCAGGTTGTTCAGGTTGCCCTATCAGAGACACACACTTCTCTTACGCTCCGCATTTAACCTCATTCATGCATGACCTTTGGTTCAACAGCCGAGTCCTTGTTAAATCGCTGGAGCCTCAGAGCGTCTGACTCGAGCCTATTGATCAGCTGCCAAGTCCCTCACCTCGTATCCAGTGATGGCAATGAGGTGCATGGAGTCATTGACGGCTTTCAGGATGCCCAGAATGGCTGAGAGCGCCTCCTGCAGGTCCTCTGCCCCCTCACAGCCTTTGCTGTACTTTATTAGCTCCTATCAGGAGACATAGACACAGACCAACAGACACACAGTGGTTACATAAGATGAGCTTACACTCAGTGCCATTTTAGTTTCATACAGTGTACAGAGTTCACAGAAAATAGTGTAATAGTGCAATACACACTCAGTGGCATTTGCATGGACAAAAGCACCTTAATGAGCAATGCCAGAGAAGAATGGCCTCCTTTTAAAGCTAAATTGTAGGTGATACGTTCAAACTTAACAGCATAGTGCTGTTTTTGAAAACCTATGAATGCAGAACTGACAGTCTACACCAGTGTTTCCCAACCCAGTCCTCGGGGAACCCCGGACAGTCCACGTTTTTGCTCCCTCCCAGCTCCCAGCCAATCCTGGTACAGGTGCGCTGGGAGCTGAGAGAAAAGCTTGGGAAACACTATTTCATTATAAGTGGTTCTGCATGTGACAGTGGGTCCTCCCCAGTACTAGGTAGGGGGACCTAACGAGGTAGCTTTGGAGTGTATTACTTTTTCATTAAAGGCTAAAAAAAAACGAACCTCTAGTCTTGTGTTAGCTAGTGCACTGAAATTGCAGTGAAAAACATCAGAAGAAATTCTTACTCTCAGTAACAGCTGGTACTTGGTAATCCTCTGCACTGGTTTCAACAGGTAGGAATCCAGGCCCAGTTTGTGTTCAAGTTTTTTTTGACACTCCTGTTCAACCAGAATAAAAGAAAATGACAGCTGAGAGATGATGATAAGACACGCTGGGGACGGATGAAAGATGGTCTGTATAGAAGTCGGTGCTGGTGCTGGTATAGAAGAATTCAGAGGACAAACGATCTGCAAACCAACGTGAAGAAATCCTGAAATACAAGTAGCATCACTATACACAGGAGAAGATTAAGATAAGATAGGAACGTTTCTAAGAGAAAGTCTATGGGTGTCAGAGAGCGGGGAATTGTGGATGAGAGTGAAGATAAGAGATGAGTGTTTGTGGCGTAAGATGAAGGAAAAAGGGGAGGTGAGCAAACCTGGAAGAAGGTGCAGTCCGAGCTCTGCCTCCACAGGCTCTCAGAGCGAGGCTTGTTCTGACAGTACTTCTCATAGATCTGCAGATCCGTCATCTGACAAGGAGCACGACGGTCAGACACACCTATGAAGCTTGTCAATTATCAGGTTTAGTTATATATTATATTTTATATACGTAATAGTATGAAGATGATATATTTCATGTATTATATAACTGACAATATAATTTATATATTTTTAATATATTTTAGATTTGTTTTTATTTTGTTTTATTCTTTATTTTGTATATTACATATAGTAGTAATTATGATTGTTGTAATAATCACTTTGACCTATACAATTTGCACAGCATCCATAGATGCACTATCTACCTCCACGATCCTTGAAGGTTATTCTATTATTGTATGTATTTTTTTGTACTTGAGCTTTGGATGCCTAAATTTCTTTCAGGATCAATAAAGTATCCATCCATCCATCCATCCATCCAATCTAATCTAATGAACACTGTCCGCCAAGTCCCACATCCTTGATGCAAACATTCAGACTTACCCTCTGTAGAAAACAACGACCCACCAACTCAGGACATTCAGTGTAAGTCTCCAGCTCCCTCAGAAAGTTCCTAGACAGACAGACAGACAGACAGACAGACATACAGACATACAGACATACAGACAGACAGACAGACATACAGACAGACAGACAGACATACATACAGACAGATAGACAGACATACAGACAGACGTGCAGACAGACAGACATACAGACATACAGACAGAGGTGCAGACAGACAGACAGACAGACATACAGACAGACGTGCAGACAGACAGACAGACAGACAGACATATAGACAGACAGACATATAGACAGACAGACAGACACAGATAGACATACAGACATACATACAGACAGACAGACATACATACAGACAGACATACAGACAGACATATAGACATACAGACAGACATACAGACAGACATACAGACAGACAGACATACAGACAGACAGACATATAGACAAACAGACATACAGACAGACAGACAGACAGACATACAGACAGACATATAGATAGACAGACAGACAGACAGACAGACAGATGGTAAGGCACAGCTATTTAATTTGTTTCATGTCATTATGTACACTGCTATACAGTAATTCTTAATTGTAATGTGAAATACTGCAGTAATAAATCATGCCACATTCCACACACATACAACAGTAGACGATCATAAAACAGCCACAAGAGGTTGAGTTTGTAAGTGTTATATAATTTGATTTTAAATGATTTGCCCATTAAATAAACGGCCAACATGACATTTTGAATCTTCAGTGTATTTTTTTCCACATGTTGCCTAATAATATTAAATATCACCCGTAATTTCTTAGCACATGACAAAAAATGACGTAAAACTTAAGTTTGTTTAAAGGATCCTCATTCACTTTAACTATAGCTAGTATCTAACTGACACCAATGGGAAGCAGAATGACCTCACTTCTTATGAAACTGGTATATCTCAGGCATGTTGCCAAAGAGCACGTCCTTCTTGTTCAGCAGCACACTGGGGATCAGATGTATCATTGCCGGATTGTCCATCTCTGCAGCATAGCCCTGGAACGAAGCAGAAAGGGCTTGGAAGGAGCTGCTCGGAACCCATTCATCAAATACGCTTCCAGAATGTGCCTAACAGTGGTCATTGTGTAGCGTAGGAGTTAAAGGCCAAAATCCGTATCACCTAGTCCCAACTAGAGGAACTTCATCTAAGATAAGGCTCCATAGATATGTAATACGGACGATAGCTAAATAAATAATATGTGATATTTTAATTTAAAAATACCAGGATAAATGATAATATTGAGTCGCAAAAAGTCACAAACACACATGCACATACGTACCAAGTGAGGCGGCATCATTACGACTGGTGTTTACATACATTGAAACCTTCGTGTACCATAAAAGGAGTTAAAAAAAATACCCACGTGTGTGTATCGTTTAAACTGTGTCAGAAACATAGGCTACAAGGCTGAACTGAAAGCCAAATCATAAATCTTTGTTATTTTTCTTTGTGATTAGCCTAACCCTACTTCCCTGATGGATGAGGTAATTATCGGTTAGTAAAGGTCAGATATCGACACTGGGTTACTTCGTTGATATCGTTGATTACCGATAATGTTGTCATACTGTCCAGCCCCATAAGTGAAACAGCATAATGATTATAAATATCTACTAACCTGAAGCACACAAAGTAACTCCTCTACATAGACCCTTTCTGTCTCCAGCAGTTCGTTCATCACATGCCTGCAGAAAAGCAAACCACATCCATTCTCTCATCAGTGCTACTATGTCACACAATAATAAATACAAGATAATATGATCGGCCAATTTCATACACTTTGGAATATCACCAAACCTCACCGCCTTAGAATTGCCAAATTGTCTTCTTCCTCTGAGATCGACCCATACTTGCTGCTGCACTGCAGATTAAGCTCGACCTGATATATAACGGAGATAAAGTCTTGCTGAAACCATACACCAGAGAAACCACCCTGATCATATTACCAATCACCTTCAAGGACTTCCCATTTTCTGGCACTCTCAGCTTTAAGGAATGTGAGGTAGAGAAATCAGTGCTCACCTTTGTATTGTTCATTCCATTAAGTCGGTTAGGGTCACTACTGATTTTCTCAGGGCCGAGGTGAACTGAAAGGGAGGAAGGGCAGCCATCTTTGAAGAGGTACCATCAACATTACCCCTGACTTAGATGATTTTGGTTCTTTTAACATGTATGTTATTACCCCTTTGGCTAGTGATGAGGTAATGGCCAGTTAATCCATCAGAAGATGGAGACAGGTTGAAGGTACAATTGGAGCGAGTCTGGAGAAGCAAAGTCATTCGAGGTCTGACCTGGGGAGGAAACTGGTGACTTCATAGAGGCCTCAGGGCTGGGGGCAACGGGCTGGATGGGGCGGGTCTGCTTGGCCGCCAGCTTCTTCAGGCTAACACGACGCTTGTCGAACATCTCCTCCATGGACACCTGTTTCTGGAAGACCTTCTCCACATGATCCTACCATGACCAGCATGGGACACACACAAAACATGAGCAGTTGAGCCAGAATAATGATGATACACTGCAGAATGGGCAATGCGGTCATTGAGCAATCATTTAGATGAACATTTATGTTAATTTTGTGATGTTAATGTCCCCTTTCACCTAGACAAACAGCTTATTTTCATCATCCAAATGGAAGTACTAATAAAGTTTCGGACACAGTTGTCCATGATCTCCACAGGCTACGAGGCTCACCCTGAATTCACCATTCAGCACAGCATCATAGTCCCTCCAAATGCTGTCAAGCGCTATGTGTTGACTCTGCTGCCCCCTGGTGCTGAGGTAGTGCTCTAACTCTTGCAGTGCAGACTCGGCCCCTTCCTGAGACTGGCACTTGTCCACGGGCTGGGAGGCGAGTAGGTAGATGCCATCCTCACACCACTTAGCAACCTGTTGAAAGAAGAAGTCAACACAGATCTTTTGGCATGTGGAAGCGGGATCGAACCAGAGAAAAGCAATCGGTTCAAATCCATCGCAAACAAGCTTTGGATCATCTGGCATGTAACAAATGATGGAAAACAAGTTTGACAAGAGAAATTCCTAACAGAAAATTTTTTAGACTGACGGGGAACATTCCATTCAGTGAATATACGAAATATGAATCCCTGTCAGAAATACACCCTTCAAAGTACCAACCATAGAAAATTGCTATAGAACAAATAGAGTGACTGACTGCAACAAGTATGTGCTCTGAAAGGTTCTAAGTTTATCTCACAGAAACATAATAACTATACACAGCAAGGCAGATGAAGGACAGCAGATGAGCATAAATAGGTCTACGCTGTAAATGCTTCTGATTACACTTAAAGCAAATCTCTATTTGCATGTATTGTCTTTGCATGTTCCATGTGAGCTGCACCGGGATATAAAAATGTTGTGTTTCATGTGTGGGCTGCGCATGTAAACAACGCCACCTTCTCCAGGTTCTGGTGCAGCTCCATGGCTTTTAGCAGGTGGGTCTTCTTGGCCTTCAGGTCTGAGCTGAGGTCTTCGCTGGTGGCCCGCAGCTCGCCGCACTTGAGCAGGATGGAGTCCAGGGCGTAGTGGAAGCTCTCAACGAGCTGGTCTCCCTGACAGGCTAATTCCTGAGCTCGCTGAACACAATCCTGTATCCACAATTAAAACGTTTGGTGTAACTTATCCTCTTATCCCACACAAGCGGGGTCGGGGGAGGGTGGGGGGGTGACTGACAGGTATGTTTTCCTGTGCCCTGGATTGGAGGGAGCCAAAGGGGACTGTACCCCATTCGGAAGAACACACCGAGGAGACTCAAGGTGACATTTTAGACGACCCAGAATTCTTTGCTACGGCCCTGCATAAAGCATAAGGCTTAGGGTTTGGGTTAGGGTTAGGGTTAGGGTTGAACCGGGACAGGATGCCAGTCAATCGGAGGGAATGCACATCCACATGCTCGCACGCTGAGGGGGGGCTAGGGACAGGATTGAGAACCACTGCTGTATATGAAGGCACTTATTCTTGTAACAGGTAATTAGCCTGAATGAAACCTGCAAACCGGAGTCTTTATTGTCCTGTCTTCACATTTATGTTTTGTTCTAATGAGGGTCAGTGTAGGATAATGAAGGAGTCCCTTACACAGACTTTCTCCTCATGGCTGCTGACGTCCTTCAGCATGTGCTCCACATGACCCGGGCTGATTGTGACCTCCGAGAACATGGGCCCCTTCAGGTATTCTGCCAGAAGGTCCAGTTGCGCTCGCACCTGTGCAGGCAGCAGCAGGCACACTCAGCATTGTGTCACGTGTTAGGGTTGCTCCGCCCACTCGTGCTAGCCC